ACTGAAAAAATCATCGAATCCGGATCCGAAGCAATGATCCCGACATCATTCACCAACCATTCGTGAATAGCATGGTACAGGCCAGCATTCAACTTGCTGAGTAGATACTTGACCGGGTGTTCATCCTTGTCAAGATCAAATGACCTGTCAGGAATACAAGTGGCAGCCTATCATTCAATTTCTTGTAGTCCCTCGCTACTCAGTAGTCAAAGGTTTCGGAATCGTGCAACCCGGCCTCACTTCATTCAGAATCTTGTCGGCCCATGGAGTGTGAACAGTTTTCGCACTCTTAGCCCCCCGGTCGGGATCTACCGCAGATCGTTTCCCCATCCCACGACCCAACCAGTGTTCAGGCCGACACCGGTCAAGCAAACCTTGAGCACGATCAAGGCCGGAAGATCAGGTTTGTTGAGTTTTCTCCAGTCTGGCAATTGGCATGATACTGCAAAAGAATTTGAGCAAACCTTCAGCTCTTGATGAAAGACTATTTGTTTTGGGCACCTGCGAGCGCCGAGTCGATGCTAGGACCAAGGTCTCCGGCGAAAGTAACCATGTTCCTCATAGTCACCTGGGCATGAGCTGCAACAGCTTGGTGTTCTCAAAGTGCAAAAAGAAACTATTCAACAACTCTTGGTGCCAGTTGCTGTCAGATTCAACAAGTAAAAGCGAAAACACAAGAGCCTTCAATAGACTACCACCTCTTCATCCAAGGCCACTAAAGTAAGCCTTGATTGCTGTTGTCAGCGCAGGTATTGGACCAGTTCTTCAGAGTGTGTTTCTCGAACACATGCTACATAATACTATGATCCGAAAACAAATGCGATGAATTGCTCCGAGAAGCCAGCGGGGCCTTTGGTGAAGAACAGCTGTACGGATGCATTGCAATTAGCTAGGCTCTAATTGAATGACACAGAGCGGAACAAACTTGTTTATTCGGTTCAAGGAGTTCTCTTTTTGGCTCTTAAAGGTTCAAGAAGAAGTTCTTACGCAAGATTCTGCACGCTCCAGTGCCAGTCGTAATATAAAAAAAACTCATCGCCGGCATGCCCACACCAAAAGAAACATCGAGTTATGGTCAAGGGCCCGAATATATCATCTAGCAAAAAAGAATCGACCATGCCAACTGCTCATTGAGCTGCATTTCCTCAACGGTTGGCTTTAATAGCGCAAACTGCGGCAAGCAGCACACATCCCACACACGGCGCCGACATGCTATTGCCAGCTAGCTTTGGGATTGCTGTTGAATTAATCTTTTGCAGATTCAACTTAGGTGCGCCACATGTCTCACTTTGACGGTCCGTCGTTGGGAGAGTTTGAGCTGTCAGCAACTCCTTTGGCGCCATGACCCGTCCATGATCCTGCACACAAAGTTCCCTAGCCCCTGCCCCAAAAACCAACCAACAAGCAAACTTTGCTAACTTGTATTCTGCCAGGTGTGTGCGGCCCTGCTAGAAGCACAAGACTAAATGTGTCAGGTCCTCAGAGAAGAACTTCCCGCAATTTGTAGTCAGTGTCATCAGGGAGCCATCTTTCAGCTGCCCACGAGGTCTGCCATTCTTGGCATATTGAGTCAAATCAACAATATTGTATCTCTTGGAATCCAACGCACGGTATGCCATGAGGTTCTGTTCCTTAGATATGAGGGAAACATTGAAATGCCTTGACCCTTAGACGCGAATTTGCTCAACACATCATGATGGTAAGTTTGTGCGCTCAAACTACTGTACCCCCAAAAAACCACCCAAGCACACACCTACTGTTTTTGCTGTGGTTCCTCCGCATTTGTGAGTCTCTTCTTTGGAACTTTCTCCCAAAAATAGTCCCGAGCAGTAAGCACTGGTTTGACCGCCAGAGCTGTCACGAACTCATTGAGCGTGAAGTCAGCATCCCACCGGACATGGTCGGAGTCATAGCAAATCATATAAAGCCGCGGCCTCGAAACGCCCATGCCGAAGATACGAGGGTCTAGCCTGGTCGCCTGAATCCGCCAAGACGGCCCCAAACGAGCAGCCACAATCTCTTCAGAATATTCTGTAACGTTCTCCACAATCAGAACGGAATTTGATTTGCCATACTCCTGATAGTATTTCTCATGTGTTCTGAATGAGATGTCCTGTTCTTTCCGCCGACGTCCCATCAGCGAGAAAGCTACACAAACTGGTCCTTGGATAAAGTGAAAGCGCTTGAACATTGGCTTGTTGAAATTTGAGCAACAAGTTATTTGGACATGTTGACCGAAGTTCAAGGACAACACCACAAACTCCTGCGCTCGGCTGGCTGACATCTTGAACTCAGCTGAGGAGCCAGCACAATTGACATTGATGCCTTGCAAGGCGGGGCAGTTCGTTCACAAAATAGATCCCGGTCACGAACACAAAATAGATATACGCCATGAGCCATGCTATCATGAAGCGGCAAGTCGTTCAATCATGTGGCAAGCTACGGGTGTTGGTCTTCTTTTGAGGCTTGCAGAATTTGCCATGTGTGCTGCAGTAGTTGCCGCATGTAGCACCCAACTGGATATCCATGATGTCAGGGTAGTTGCAGTGGTTGTACGTCTGTGCCAACACGGTCTGACACGTTGTGGATACTTCACAACTGGATCCAAGACGGACATTCCTCAACGGTTTCTTGAACCCTGTCTTTTCAACCACAAACTTGTGAGCTGCGGACTGAAGGCTCAGGCTCGCCTTGGCAAAAGGGTGGAGCACATTCTCTAATAAGTATTCAACTTCTACCAAACAGTCCATTGGGTGTTTGACATAAATGCAAACAATGTCATCAGAATTCGAATGAAATCGATTCTTCAAGAGAATCAAGTCACACTCTCAGCAGCTCCTATACCACTAAAGGCTGTGCTCAAGTTCCACCTCCAGTTCCACAACCTTTTGAGAAGCCAGCGTTCTCCATATGTCTCAGCTATCACTTTCAAAAACTTGTCCGGCCAGGCAAAGGTTTGAATGATGCTCTTGAAGCGGACTGGGAGCCCTTCTGCAGGCAGTTCTACTGAAGTCTTCGGATAACGTCTCCTCGGGAATGTTTCGAAGTGCGACCGATCTACCCATGAGACAGGTGCAGTGGTTCATCACTGATGCCAGTTACACTTAGGCAAACTACTATATTTATTGCTTGCATTTGCACGGAAATACACCATATTCTGAAGTAACAGTAAAAGGTTAAGAGCAAGACGTTTTGGTCTTCAATGCATTCTTCTTTACAGACCTGGGGCATGGCCCAAATGGATTGACAGGTCCAAAACAGAAACCCAAGGGAAGTTAACAATAACATGATCATCATGATTGCGAACAACCCACAACATCAGCTTTTGAGCCAACCCTGTAAATTGTGAACATCTTGAGCAAACCTCTGAGCATACCGCCTCCTGTTGGTGGACCCTTGGTGTTTTCCTTGAGCTCGAACAGGATCCCGCGGCCTCCACAATGTGTTTTGGCCTATTATGGTTCAAGAGGTTCATCACCTGGCCTTGAGGAAGAACTTCCAATCATTTTGACTGCTTCTCGAAGGCTGCATCTCTTTGGTTTGGCCATCGATGTGGCTCAGGCAAAGGCAAAGACACTGAACCCTAGCTGTCCCTTGATCTTTGGCAAAAGAAGATAGATGTTCAGTCACAAGTCCCACAGCGATTGAAGCGTGACCTAGACTACTGACTGCTTTGCAAGCGTTTCTTTTGCATTCTTTTGCATCAATTATCAATTGTTCGAAGCACTGTTGAAAGGCTATTGCATTTCTAAAGCGGAAGCTATGCGCCGGCTCTTTCGAGTAGGGGCCTCCCACGGTGCCATGCACATACTTAGTCTCGAAGATGTGAAAAACTACTTACAGGTGTTACAATAATTCAATACGGATCAAACAATGAGTCAACTGTCTAGGGCCGTTGAAAGACAATGCTTGGACGGAAGGCAAGATCACGACGGAAGACAACGGCCTCTTCGCGCCTTTCATGACCATCTTGATCTGGTGGCGCCTCAGCCAAGAGGGCATGACAACAAAGGGTTACGGTGTTTGCAGCTTTGGGGGCTGGGCTGTGTTGCAATGCTCAGAAACAGGTCCGTATTGAATACCTCGCCATGACACCTATCAAGCAAGGAGGTTGATTTCATCTTGAACTTGGTAGAAGATTCAATTAAAAAACTCTGTCAGCTTGTCGCCTCTCCAGTCGAGATTAGCATTTCTATGGTCACCTCATCAGTTTCAAGAGGTTGAGTGAGTTGGGTGTTGAGACTGTTCACTGACCCCCCAAAAACCAGCCTGTGAGTCTTCATTGTATGACCAGTGGTCAGGGTCATCCTGAGGCCAGTAATCCTGCACGGCAACATTTCAGGTGCATTTCTAGGGTATCAATCCACTAAGAGGAAAAGGGCAATCAGCTTATGCACAATGCTCCTCAGCGTCACAGGTCTTCCTTTTGGCAGGGTTTGACATTGGAACTGGGCTGCCCTGAAGACACATGCCAGAACAGTTGATAGACAACAGTGCCAAGTTGATGCTTCGCTTCTCATGAGAAGCTTAGGCTAGACATGGCACCCACGCCCAAGCCTTCACAAGGACTTCTGGCGAGTCGTTTCCGTGGCCATCCAGAGCGGTCAGTGTATGGGGCATGCCTCCAGCAAGGCGAATCCAAGAAACTGTTGAAAATACAAATCAGACTCTGTTTGATGGAGTAATATGGAGTTCCACTTCAACATTCAAATCCTGCGATCGTGCCTATGCTGGCTAGGAATGTTTCCCCTGATCCTAACAAGCTACACGCGCCCAGTTGGTACCCCTAGCAAAATGCCTGCGGATGAAACATGTTCATGACATGGAATCCAGTGTAGCACAAACCATCATGTCCAGGAGTATATGAGCGACAGCTACAAAAAGAACAGCAAGTCGATTTTTGATTTCCGGGGTGGCAATAGTCTTGGAAGTAGGACCGCACGCTGCCAGCCTTAGCCTTCGTTGATGGAAATTCAACTCATTGTCATCAAAGTAAGAAAGGGAGGCCAAGATCAAAAGCTTCCTTCAGGCTACGGCCGCAGGTGGGCCCGAAGTCGCATAGCTGGTGCAACCCTGTCAAGCACCGAGAGCCCCCCCCAAATCTATAGCGGGTGCTCGAGGCTCTTCCTCCAACCATTTAATGGTCGGAACAGCCTCTGGGTCTAAGCCAGTGCAAATCCCAACTAAAAACTCTACTGCCCTCCGAGTTGCTTCCGACGGGTTTGTCCGAAGCAAAATTTGGGCCAAAGCCAAGTAGTCTTTCTTTTTGGCGGGTTTGATCAGCTTTAGGCTTCGTGGCTCAGCGGGCAAAGGGCCAAATCGGGCAACGTACCGGTATGGAAACGCCAACATTGGCTCCTGTAAGAAGACTTTCAAAATTGAGCTTTCCAATATTTACCAAACAACGATATCATCCGTATTCCCATTCAAGAAAAACTCACGTTGAACAACTCCTGACACAATCCATCGTCCGAAGCGTTGCGTTTGACCATCAGGATCACGTCAGATTCGTGAGTCTCATAGGCCGCACCCCGACCGTGGGCGACGATGTTGATGTTGGCAGGGAGGTCTGACGGACGCTTCAAAGCTTCTCTGACACTTTCTCAAGGCAAGCACTAGCCCACAAACACTATTTAGAGCTATTGGTAAGATATTACATAAATCTACAGGGTGGTGACCAGAAAGAGGTTAATGGATTGTGCTTTGAATCACAGTTGACCAGAAAGAGACTGGTCATTGGATTGCGCTTGGAACCACAGTTGCTCACCTGAGCGGCGCATAAAGATGAACGCGTGCAGGCCCGTCTCGTCCGTTTTGAGACCCCCGGCAAATGTCACCGGTGCAGCCGATAGCCTTACACTGTTTCAAAGGGCAATCACATTGCATCTCATACTCACAAGCTTCAAAACTGTGCAACATGTGTTGAACAAAGTCACAAAACGAACATCATAAAATTCTTGAAACATTTGAACCAAAGCACCAGTTCTTGAACTCCCGAACACCGGATATGTACTGCACACGGATTCGTGCCTTTTGTCCTATCCAATGCCTGACCCCGATGCGGTTCAAGACGTTCTCGATCTTCCTTGAGACATGGCTGAGGTGACAATGAAACCATTAAAAGTCCTGAGTGTAATTACCTATTTTACTGTATGTTCAATTGGATCACGTTCCCTAAGCTTCGGACGCTGCGACGTCAAGACCATCTGACAAAATGTCAATGTACTTCATGGCCGTCGCGATCAATCCGTAGATTTGGTCTTAGTGGGAGGCGGCTGTGGGCTTGAGCAACGTGGGTCCAACTCACAAGAGCCTAGACAACCCCTTCAGACTGATTTCAGGAGTTGCTGCAACACAGACAAGAGCTGCAAAATGCGTGCAAGGAACCACACGCTGAATGCGTGTGGCCCACTCTTGAAAAGAAGTACCCACACATCCTCATCCTGTGAGTCGCACATAACCAGCTCAAGAACCGCAGAAGTTGCCCGTTCTTGTTCTCCCTCACGCAATTGTCAGCCTAAGTTACAGCACTAACTATTCTTGGTCAAAACATTATAAGACATTGAATTAAAATTTAGGGGGCAAAAGTTTGATACAAAGTAGGGTGTTCTTCAAGTGCTTCCCAGTGAAACTGAACTCTTGTTTCCGACGGTTTTCAGTCCTACTGACTGACTAAATTATAAAGAAAGAAATGTTGCAATTCAATCAAAGGCTCCCAAACCAAAAGCTGGTTGGGGCGGGGAACTCTCAGCTCATCGCACAGCTGCAAAGCAAAGTCTATTGAGCGACTTGCGGTCTCCAGAACCGTGGTTGAGTCAGCTGCCACTCGAGGATCTAGGACCTGGCAGAGAGGCAAATTGTTGGAATTCAGGCTCAGGCCAGCAAACTACAAAGTACAATCCCCACATTTGCAGCCCCTCAGCTTCAACAAACAAGAAGTTGTTTAGACCTGTCTATTCCGTGGAAATGGCGCGCTCTTTAATTATTATCAAAGCAATTAATTGAACCTGGCGGAATGTGTTGCTTGTTGGCGTGCTTCAATTCAATGTCACACTGTCTCAACGATGCCTTGCATCTCCCCCCGGTATTGACATGAAGAGAAACCATTAAACTGATAGTAGCACGGTTCGACATGGCATACCCGTGTCAGTGTATTAGGCAACATGCCCCTGAAAGCTCAAGACTTGAGTCAGACAGTAAGTTAATGATACAACATTGTACATCTGAGCACGATCAACCCCAGCAATTGCCAAAGGATTACTACTTTGCAGCTTGGACGCGTAAAGGTCCAGCAAAACGTTAAAGATCCATATGCCCTGCACTTTGAGCTGTGGTCGTTGCAGGTTCATCGTTGACTTCAAAGGGCGCTGTCCATTGGGGCCATGATACCGTGGGATTCTCCATTTGCTCTGGTCCATTCCGTCCTTACATGGACTGAACACAAGTCGGAACATATACCCAGTGCACCCTAGAAGAAAGGGATTAAAACCATTAGGACGCTTAATGGTAGCTGCACACTGCGGTGAACAGATTCAATTGACAAGGGGCCCAATGCATTGCCAATGGATGTCCACTTCTCTCCAAAGTGTTGCTAGCTTGGAGAAACTGCTCCAGGTCACGGTCCCGACCGACCTCTTCCAAATGATGTCGGTAACAGCGAGCTGTCTCAAACTTGGTTTGAGGGTCAAGCTGCCGTTTGAAGTCGGATTTGAATCCGCAACAAACATCACAGGCCCCGTGTGTGGATGGAGCCACAAAACGGAGCAGATTGCTCCAGCCCTGGCGAAAGGTACGCCAAAAATGGTTGTACGATATGCCGTCGCCTTTCCTCTCTGTTTGCATGTTCATCCACAACATATGAATGGTTCCTGGCGGCAAATACCGGACAGGTAGATTCTTGATGTTGCTGGCGAAGTTTGTTTCCACGCATGATGTGAAAAAGGAGTTCATGCCGAGCACGTGAAGTCGCAGTTCCTGGTCCTTTTCGATGGGCTCTTCTGGGATAACCTCGTCGTGATCTCCTTCATCTGATGTGCTCTCGGCCTCTGACTCGTGGTCATCCACCGACTCAAATACCACTGTGATCTTCTCATGAGACTTCTTGCTGCGACTTGCTCGCTGAAACCTGATGATTACAAGTCGTCGTGAGCTCTTAATTATGCATTGGGTTTGGAACGGTCACCTATTAAACTTAATTAAACTTATTAAACATAATTTGTACTCACCCCCCCAACAAAAAAACGGTTGTAATTGCAAGCAAAAAGCTTGTTCGGCAGCATGCCAGCTGACTTCATGTACACACCAAGCAAGAACATGTTTATAGCTCTTCTCTTTCGAGCTGTTCGCTTGATTACCTCAATTCTAGGCTCTTGGCAAAGCGTGTCCAAGGCGCCCTAATTTTAAGTCTAGTGACCCAAAACCCACCACTTGTCATCATTCACAGTACAGTAGTGAGTTGATGGCATGCTCCAAGGTGTTTCAATGGTTCAATGGTACACCCTATTTTAAAAAAAACTGCACAGTAACAAAACAGTTCAATGTTCAACTTAACCAAAGCACGTTTCCGTCAGACTTCCGCATATCCCGTCTAAATTGCAATATCCGGCTTAACCGATCATTGCCCATACCCAGCAAAGCCATCGCACACGCTGGCGACACCTGCTTGCCCAAGACGTACCAGGACCTCCGGCAGTTGGCTTTATCGCCAGCAACGAAAAGCACCTCAAATGGCATCATTGCACACGTCTTCGAAAACGACAATAAGCTGTAAACTTTGTGTGCAATGAAGTGGCCACTGTGTTCGCAAAGCTTCTATAGCCTACTAATGACATGGTTTGGCAAAACCAATTTACATGACAACCTCAATGCAGAACTCGACTCTGACCATCAAAACAAACTCGCAACCTATGACAGAGCCCTGCTGTTAGACTTAGAGCTAAATTATACTCAAGCAAGGCACGAAAGAATCCTGAGCAGCTCTTGCTAGAGACCAAAAGATCTTCAGGAATTTCAGCAGTTGGTCTACCATATTTTGCCGGTACTTGGCAAAACAAATCTTCCTCTGACACCGACAGCAGTCACGTCGGATCAGGCCCTCCACGCGTGCTCGGCTGAGACCATTCTCAGTATGCCTTGGATAAATCTGCTTGGCGATTGGCGACACAAATTAAACCTGCTACAATGCTACAAGTCGAAAACAAGTCCAGAAACTTGGGAATCAAGTTACGAAGTTCTTGCACGCTGAAGTCTCATGTGTCTTCTTCGGGAACCATCATAGTTTGGACGCTTCCGGAAATTCACCTCTTCGCTAACAGGGCTCAATCCCATACCATGGATGCCCTGAAATCGACTCAAGGTATCAAAATCAAATCTGACACCTTTGACAGGCTCAACCACTGGCTTCGCAGGTTCACTGGGTGCGCTTGGCTCTTCACGTGAGGGCTTGGCATCAATGGAATCCTCTGGGTTCCGAGCCAAAGCACGAAGGAACCTGGCGCATCTGACAAAGAGTCTGCAGGCTGGGTTGCAGTTTGAAGAGTGGTCGAAACCTTGCAATTGATCAAGAACAACTGCAAAACTAAGACCTAATACCTACTCAAAACTGCGCAAGTCAGGAGTGGCAAGCGCGCATCAGTTTGCCAGGCCTCTTTCTCTGAGCCGATGACATCTTTTGAAGCCCTGAGCGCACGATAGCGTGCGAGGTAGAATTGCCCAGCAACATGCTAAGGTCGCAAATCAGTGTAGAGCAGCATGATACTGAAATGGGCCACTGTTCATCAACAACGGGAATATGTTTAAGCAGCTCTGTTCGGGCAAAAAATATGGCATGCCAAACAGCAGCTTAAAACGACGGAGAGTTGAAAAGTTGCAGGGGCCCACCATGGAACAAATGCGTTTGCATGCGTTTGCATTACAAACAGACTCAGACGCCTTTTCTTGGCGTGCGTAGTTTTTGTTGAATAAGACACCTCGCAAACCTGGGATTAATCCAAATGTCATGTTGTGTACTGAAGACGTTTGTCATTTTTCATTGAGGCAGGTGTTGAGCTACTTCCATTTTCAGCTCGTTCTCGAACATGTGAACATGGAAGATTCAGAACTGCGCTGCTGAATCTAGTGACACGTGTCATAGCCTAGTAAGACAGAGTGGTTCAACACAATGATTTGTCAAATATTTCATAAATCCTTGGAATCCAGTGACCAAACTTTGTATCGGAGAACATGGATGAAGGTCAGATCCGCCCATTGGAATACACTGAACCTGCTCAGGCCGCCACAACCTTCACTTGGGCCTCACTCCTGCAGCAAGGCTTCGTAATTGTTGTTCTTTCCGTGGAGGGGTGGGTGAAGATGAAGATGATACTGATTATACGACCAACACCAGCCCAGATCATTGCAGGATACTGCAGAATAAAAAGCGGTGGTGGTTTGAGTACACGTCCAGGTAGCAAGAAGTTCAAGAAGCCCATTTTAGTCCAAGTTTTTGACCAAGTAGGGAGAGGAGGGTGTCAGTGGGGTTTACTTGAAATTTTCTCTGGGAGGCAACCGCCAAAATGAACCACTTGAACCTCCAACCTTCAGCTTGTCATTGTAGCTGGAGCTTGATTCGAACCAGCCCCAGCTACGATGACAAGCTGACGCCTTACCGGTAACTGGCCCCACTGAGCCAGAAACCAGGGACAGAAACCAAACGTCTTCAAAAAACAGTGTTTCTTTGTACTTTTTGGCGCTCAACCAACCGTCCTGTACTCATCACCGACGCAGGCGAAGGGCGGCAACCTGAGAGTTTCTGAGTGGACAGCCAGCCCATGCCAGCCCTACCACACATGACTGATTTCCTGTGAGGTGGATTTTCAATTTAGCCTATTACTAAATCAGTACTAAATCGACATGCTGTTTGCACGACTGAAAATAAGTTCAGCAAACGATCATCGGCCAATTCTCTTGGGGCGAGGCTGAGCGAATCAGCATGTGCAAAGAAGCCGGCCGGATGCAATATGACAATATGCACAAAGTTAGAGTTTCTACCATGATCTCATTTGGACAAATGTCAAAATATGTCAAAATACTACATTAAAGTTTAATGATGAATGAATTGCACCCTATAGGAGTTACAAGCCGGGTATGATCTCTGTCAGATTATCCATTTGCTCAATCCACTATATTCCAAGCCCTTTAGTAGCTTTCTATGCTTCGATCCAAAACGTGGCTGAAAATGCAGCAGGTGCCCAAAGACAGCGGCACTCCGATCCTCGTCTCATGGTTCCAGATTCGGGCCCCGGCGGAAAACAACTCAGCACCTGGCGGTCGAGCTTGGATTAAGTTGGGGTTCAACTCTCTTTGTTTCCTTGGAGGACTACTAGGCCAATAGGGGCGCGCAAGAAAGGAAAAACCGAATCCGAAGCAACGTGGCAACGTGGCAGTGACATTCATTCGAATGAGATTCACGAGAAACTAAAAATAAATGACGAATGAATGATGACATGTCGCCCAAAGGGTGATCAGTGATGAGTGGTGACTGATGAGCCTGGTTGTTGCAGAACATCTATTTCCCAATTCCCCCAACATCCAATATTCCTGGCTTTATCGATCGACTTCGGTCCACCAGGTTGCACCTTGTATCCCGTCTGTCAAACTGACTGCTCACTCATCTTCTCCTGCGTTGCAGTCTGCGCGCTTTGATAAGTTAGCCTTTTAGTCTGTGTAAGCCTTTTTGAAATGGACCCATTTTTTGGAAAGGTTTGGTATGTTTGGTCGCAGTGATCAACGGTGAC